TCAGCATTTTCGGTTGATGTTTGAGGATCCTATTAAGGGGGAAACATCAACTAGACGTCTGAAGTCACTGCAGCAGGGGAGTGGTTCATTGCAAGACTATGTCAGTGAATTCAGGCTGCGTAGCCAGGATTCAACGTGGAATGAACCAGCTCTGATGGACACTTTCCAAGATGGATTGTCTGATGCCTTGCAAGATGAACTGGCAAGCGTGGACAGGCCACTGACATTTGACGTGTTGGTCCACTTGTGCCTCCGGATGGACGCCCAGCTGCAGAGGCGAAGGCCTCGCCATGCATTCCAGGAGACCACTAGCGTGCCAATTTATCAAGAGACTGCAGTGGACTGGGAGGAGCCCATGGAGTTGGGTGCTGTCAGACCTCGAATGTCACGTACACAGATGGACAGATGACGTGCTGAGGGATTGTGTTTCTACTGTGGGGATCTTGGACACCTGGCGGAGAGTTGCCCCAAGAAGAATAGAAGGGTTGCATGGACTGCAGCCATCCCTCAGCAACGAACTATTGTGTCAGACAACTGGCACGTTTGTGCAGCTTTGATACCCCGTTCGCACAATGTAGCGTGTATTTGTGGGGTGTGGAATCCCAGGGCGGATGCCCTGCCTAGGAAATCGGAGAACTCTGACCCTGCGGACTCGCTTCCACCTTGGACTGTTCTATCTGTCGCATTCTGCGCTGCAGTTTATCATCCCGTGAGTATACAGTCTCTGCTACGGGATGCGCAGCGGGGTGACGAATGGTGGAGTGACGAAAGGCGGAAGTAGGGCCAGCTTCCCTGTGGACTTTGGAAGGGGATCTTTTGAAATATCAGGGCTGGTTCTATGTTCCCGCAGGGCACATCCGTAAACGGGTGCTCTCTCAGGTTCATGGCGCTTCTGCAGCGAGACATTGGGTTTTTTTCCGGACATTGCGCCTGGCATCCCGTCAGTTTTGGTGGCCCCATTTAAGAAATGATGTGTGGAAGTGCATGGAGTTGTGTGTCCAGTGCCAATGGGCCAGGTCTGTGAGGAGAGCTTTGCCAAGATTCCAGCCCTTGTTGACCCCGGTCCCCGCAGCACAGGACTTCGTTTCTAGGATCCCGGCGGGGTACCAGTGTCTGGGACTGTGTTCTGTGGAGGCCGTCATGAACCTTCCGGGCTGCATCCCAAGCATCAGAACTGGGGCAAGGGGCCTGCGGTGGGAGATAGTTTGGTGGCCTGGCAGGAGTCGGTGGAGCTGCCCCCAGACTCCGACGGTGAAGGGTATTATGAGTTGGCCTTGGAGGAGGTGGACGACCCTGGACAGGGTGTTAGACTCGGCCGGAGCTGTTAGAGCTGCAGCCAGACTCCAACAGCATGGGGTCAGCTTTGGAGAGAGTGGAGGACCCTGGATGGGGTGTTGATGCCACGCAGTGCGGGAGGAGACGTGGTGGTCACCGGATACCTGGGGAGCATTGGATCAAGGGGAATGTTCCTGCAGGTATTTGGGAATTACGAAGGAGGAAACACAGGAGATGAGTGCGGGCCATCTTATGGACAATCCATTCTGACCGCATCCGGACTGTCAGACCCGGGGGAAGTTCCCTGCGATGGGGGATAGTGTTGTGGCTCGGTAGGAGCCTTTGGAGCTGCTATCAGACTGACAGAAATCTACTGTGAGTGGTTTCAGGATACTCACAGGAGAAGATAACAAGCAGCTGGGGCTCGTTAAGGATCTCCTCCTATGGATAAAAGACTGATGGTGCCACGCCTTAGTTGCAGAAGTCAACGTCATTCTCCATTCATCTGTAACCATTGAGTGAAGCCTTTAGCTAAGTGTCTGGATTCACGTAACTCTGTTTGATATTTAGTTTGAGTAAAGACATTCCTTTGCAAGCTGTATGTGGCTGTAGTTTCTGAACGAGCAAAGAGGGGGGTCAAAACAGCAGACCATTTTGGAGTGTCTGAGAAGGGGGGATTTTCTTACCTTGGTGGATTTGACTGAGGCATACTTGCACGTACCTATCCTCCAGGACCACCATAAGTACTTGTGTTTTTGTTCTGCTAATTTTCATTACCAATATAGGGCTTTGCCCTTTGGCCTTTCTTCAGCTCCTTGTGCATTAACTAAGATCCTGACAGCCATCGCTGCACAACTAAGAAGCATACCTGTCAGAGCACATTGCTACCTGGATGATATCTAAGTACAATCTACATCGATGGAGTGGGCTAATAGGGACATGACACTCACCATCCAGACTCTGCAGTCACATGGTTTCTCCATAAATGTCCCGAAGAGTCACCTCACACCCACCACCAGGATCCTACACTGAGGCGGAACAGGTATTCTTCTCTGAGGAACGTAAGTCGAGTCTTAAGGGACTGTGAAGGCAAGTGTTGGGTGAAAGCAAGGTTTCATTGGCCACGTTATCTAAGCTCAGAAAGATGATATCTGCCATCACCATTGTGCCCCGATTACATTCCAGAGAGCTCCAATGGTCCCTTCCCTTCCAGAAACAGAGGACCAGCACGTCTTCAGCATGGGTGTGCTTATCATGGGAGGTGCAAGCCTCTCTCCGCTCGTGGAGGTTCCCTGCCTTGGATCAAGAGTGCTACTTCAGGATCGAACATAGAGTCACCATTACCATGGAGGCTAGCCTCACGGGTTGGGGCACGCACCTGGGCAGGCATAAGGGATCAGGGGGAAGCCACACTCAGTATTAACCTTCTGGGGCTCAGGACCATTAGGCTTGCACTTAGTCACTTCGAGCAGCATGTTAGGGATCAACATGTATTGGTACTTACTGACAACATGATGGCCAAGGTACACATGAACAGGCAGGGGGTCCAGACAGCTCATGCGGGAGGCAATGGAGCTGGGAGAATGGGCTGAGGCTCACATGATGTCCATCTCGGCTGAACACATCTTGGGGGTAGAGAATATCCAAGTCAATTGGCTCAGTAGGGCCACAGTAGATCAGGTGGAGTGGCAATTACACCCTTGTCTTTTTCAGGAAGTCGGGTTTCTAGTTATGGATCTGTTTGCTGCCCCTGCCAATGCACAACTCCCAAGATACGTCTCCAGGTTCCTCACACTGGGGGCAGAGGGATTGAATGCACTGTGCCACCCCTGGCTTTGGGATCTCCTCTACGCCTTCCCTCTGACTCCATTGCTGGCCAGAGTTATTCGCCGAATAATCTATACCAGGGCGGAGATCATTCTCATCGTGCCATGCTGGCCATGGTGCCCATGGTTTGCAGATCTCAAAGCCTTGTCTGTGCAGAGTCCGTGGAAGATACCCCCATACAGGATTTCCCTATGGCAGGGGTTGCTAGAACACCCGGATCTGCAGTGGCTGCAGCTAACCGCCTGGTGGTTGAGCAGAGGGCTGTAATGCAGGACAAGTTGTTCACCAGGGTCGTGGATACCATTTAGGCCTCTAGAAGGCATTCCACGGTACATATTTATAATGCGACCTGGGGAATTTTCTGCACATGGTGTTACTCCAAAGACATCCCTCCTACCCAGAGTTCTGTTCCCCAAACCTTGGATTTCCTCCAGGATGGGTTGGAAAAGAGTTATCCCCAAATAAACGACGGGTAGCCGCCCTTGCCTTGGTTCTGACCTGGTGGGGGAGGGTCATCCCCTCTCTCATCATCCCACAGTAAAAAGGTTTCTGAAGGGGGCAGCAAACCTCAAACTCCCACTGGTTCATAGGTATCCCATGTGGGACTTGTCAAAGTCTCCTTAGCCCTTACCAAACCTCCTTTTGAGCCCATTCGCACCATCTCGATGTAGCTCCTCACGATGAAGGGGGCCTTCTTGGTGGCCATCATCTCCGCCAGGAGAATTTCGGAGTTGAGGGCCCTGTCAGGGAAGGATTATGCACTTTCCACAAGGACAGGGTGGTGCTTAGGTTGGAGCCATCATTTACACCTAAGGTTGGGACCTGGTTTCACAGGGCGCAGGAGATGATCCTGCCAAATTTTTGTCCGGATCCTGCATGGCCATTGGAACGCCAATGGCATAAGCTTGATGTGAGGTGGGCTCTGAGGGTTTATATATCCAGGATGTTGGATTTATTGCATTCCAAGAACCATCATTGGGGCATAAGGCATCTACTCCCACAATAGGTAGATGGATCAGAGCCTGCATTGCAAGGGCATATCAGTTTTCTCAGTAGCTGGTTCCACGGGAGTCATGGCTCACTCTACAAGGAGCGCGGCGACTTCGGCCACATGGGCTATGCAGGCGCCCATAGAGGAAATTTGTAGGGCCGCCACATGGTCCTCACCTTTGCCCTTCATTTGCAACTACAAATTGGACAAATTTGCATCCTCGGATGCAGCCTTTGGCCGTAGGGTCTTACAATCAGTTCTTTCAGACAAGTAATGTGGACCAGTCAGGGGTCCTCCCATATGCGCAATCCGGCTTGAGTATGTCCCATACATGGATGCTATCCCCACCTTATTGAGAAAGAGCATTGGTACTTACCTGATATGTCTCTTCTAATAAGATGGGGATAGCATCCAGCCCCACCCTAATAAGCGACTGGTCCTCCTTTGAATCTCATAAATGATGGTTCTTTGTTTGACAACTCCTCAGCTTTAACGGGAGGTACTTATTGGTTTTTGGATCATTAAAAGTTATTTCTATGGTTTGGATAACACTTTGAATCTGTGTGTGTCTTATTCTTCGCCAAAAGCTGGGTGCAGATACCCATAGGGCAGGTTATATAGGGATATTAATTAATTATTAATGAGACTCAGTCCAATCAGAGAACCGACAGTGTTAACTCATACATGGATGCTATCTCCACCTTATTAGAAGAGGTGTATCAGGTAAGTACCAACGCTCTATTTGAAGCCTTCCAAGTTTGCAAAGGTAAATAGAACAGTGAGGGGGAAGGGGAATCCACTATGCCATGCAATTTAGATTAGCTAGAAAGCAGGAAATCCGACGATTCTAGCAATATAAATCGCGCTTCACAGCTTATCATTGGAAATACCGGTTTGTCCACACCGGTAGCATTTTTTTTTTACATTTTGGTGAACCGGTAGCATTTCACTCCTGGCTCTAATTTTATTATTGCTATATGATGTAGTGCTTAGTTTATTGTATTTATTGATTTATTGTAATGTGTTCTTATTTTTGATACTGTACTATGCAATATCAATGGATCCTATGAAATCTAGCAAAATGAAAATATAGTAAATAAAAATAAGCATCTCTTTATATAAGTATAGATACATATTGATAGAAATATTTATACATACCGGGTGCTATATGCATGAAATAATGTTTCACATGTAGTTCAGAAAATCCAAACTGATAGATGAACCTAGTCACTAATATAATTAATACATTGGCATGCTGATATTATTGACTTGCTCATATTGTTGTTTTTAAATACCAATCTAATAGTTCTAAAAAACTTATAAGAGTTTTCTTCTTAATTATATAATTTATATAGAAACTAGATTGAAAAGTTAAAGTATCTTCATAGCCACCAATTGAAATTGCAACACCACAACTGTTGGAATGTAAAACGGCATTTTAATATCATGATGAACCAGGAGAAGTGGGCTAATCTGAGTCCTTCGGAGTTTTCTCAGCTTCAAAAATATGCAGAATGTAAGTACTTTTATATTTCCATAATGTCATAATGAATTATAAACTTATCAAACTATAACTTATAAACTTACAAAAAGTAATAGAAAAAAATCCAGTTATATTTAATTTAAATATATGTGGTATATTGTCTTTTCAAAACAGAAAAATCAAGGCATTTTAAAAGATGAAGTAATTATCTATAATGCATAATCAAATTAGTAAATAATTATATTATTGATAATTATTTCATTTTTAAATGCCTTGACTTTTCTGTTTTGAAAAGAGCCTGCAGAACAGAGATTTTAAAATTAAGGTATTTTACAAAGATTGAATATTTTTCATGGTATGTGTTCTTCTAAAGTGTGGAAACTGGATTGTGCACTAAATTATATATTTTACACCATTATTGTTATCTACTCTACTTAAAAGTAAGTAACCCTTCTCCAAGAATTTTTTCTTCAACCATAGATAAAGCTGAAAACCTGGGGGACCTTCTTTGATTGTTAGATAGCCCTATTTCTGCAAAATACCCTCTTAATAAACCTTGATGTAGTAGAACATGTGCAGTGGTCTGCATAATATTGATAATGGTATAATTATACTGATGTCAAAATCATCATGACATAGTTATGCATTTAACAAATATTGAATTGAAGTGAATACTTTGTCTGGCCCAGTGTGGTTAAATACACAAGGAATTTGTTTCAAATGCAGGGGAAGTAAAGAAAATGATAAAGATAAATAATAATACTATAACAATAAAAAATTTCATTGTATGATACATAAATTTGTTTTTTTTCTAATTTAATAATTCATTTGCAGCTTCTCAAACCTTACAGTATATATAATCTTCACCCATATGTCTAAAATTACAATATGCAAATTTGAACAATTGAAAGTTATAACTATTGTTATAAAAATGGTATACTTTTCTGCCAGTATGATGTTTTATAGACAAATACCATGTTTTCCCCAAAATAAGCGGAGTTATTTTCTTTTGACCCTTGAAATAAGCACTAGGCATTATTTTTGGGGAGGTTTTATTATTTTTGAGGTGCTGGGGGCAGTGAGCATAGTTACCTCATGGCTGCTGCTATGCTGTAATATTTTTTTTTTGAAAGGGCTTATTTTCAGGGGAGGGCTTATTTTAGCACATGCGCTCAAAAGTCCAATTGGGCTTATTATCTGGGGAGGTCTTATTTTCGGTGAAACAGGGTACAATATTTTTGTTATTGGCATAATACTCTATGACTGACACATGCAATTGCTTTCTCATCCTGTTGTTATACTGCAGGGATCTCCAAACCCCGATTCCCAACCCTCCAGGCTGGGTACTGGTCCATATCCTGTTAGGAACCAGGCAATGCAAGTGGTGGCCAAGTTAGCGAAGCTTCATCTGCACATGTGCAGTGCCTAGGTTGTGAGGGAACCTAGACCCTGCACATGTTGATGGAAAAATTGTCTTCCATGGTTGATGGAAAGATTGTCTTCCATGAAACCGGTCCCTGGTACCAGAAATGTTGAGGACTGCTATTATATTGCATGGTGGAAAATCTTGGGTACATTAATCCGAACATATTTCCATGGAGGTTTATGTGTGCTTTCGTATATGCTGTTTTACTTAGAATTGGCAGATTTTATCAGGGACGCTGGCAAGAATTTTGAAGAACTGGTCCTGGTATTTTGTAATATTTACTAATCATTTTGTAGAGTTGCTCCAAATTCACTTTAATAATAAAAACAATTTCTTACTCAAAAGTCATGTTTTATATTTGTGAATGTTTCCCTGATAAAAGTAATATGAATATATTCATACTCTACTTCTACTTTAATTAAAATAATACACTTTAAATTAGCATTATGATTGTATAGGAAGAGTTTATTAGAAAAGGTGAAATGCCCCATTGCCAAGGCAAGTGTGTTTTTAAAAAGTACTTTCACAATTTCCATCCAGATTCAGTCATACAGGTGGATCAGAATGCTTTGTTTGTGTGTACATTTAAAATATGGGTTTCTTTTTGTAAATCCCAGATACATAATTTCATTATAAGAATATTCATCTTAATTGCTTATGTAGAATTCAACAACATTTTAGATATTAAAAAATTCTAAGATTTAATTTCATGCTCTTTCAAAATCTAACTAGTTGAGAAAAAATAAAAAAAATAACAGAGTTTTGGAACAGAGTGTTTTACATGTTGTTAACATTTATTAATTAATTAAATTGCAATTACAATTAAAATTTTCAATATTCTAACAGCATAGTGAATAAAATTAATGAGGTTTATGTTCTGAAAGGCGTAATTACAATTGGAATGAATGTTCTGGTGAAAATATTATATTAAATTATTAGTCATGAAGCTAAAAAAATAAATGCTATTTCTTTAGGAAACAAGCTTGTTTCAAAAAGTAAAGACTTCCAACACTATTTTTACAGATTCAACAAAGAAAATTAAGGATGTTTTAGAAGAATTCCATGGCAATGGTGTGCTAGCAAAATATAATCCTGAAGGGGTAATTTTTCTTTTTTTATCTAATTTGTTGCATTATTCATGTTGCTAGAAATTCACTCCATTATTTTTATGCTCTCTACAATCATTATATACAGTATATAACTAGCACATATTAATAGTTCATTCCAGATTGTTTTAACACTCATATATTAACATCTGTGCAATGCTCCAGAAGTTACTAGAGTGTTCATTTTTATTCAAATGATTTCACTTTAAGCAAATAGAAATTATCAACACAACATTTTATTTCAGCTGACTGCTCATGTTATATTAATACCCCAATTCTTAAAGTGTCAATACATAAGTGGCAATCTGTAGATAAAATGCCCTACTTGATAAGTTTATTAATTCTTGGTTTTATGCTGCAATTAAATGTTATTGTTAAAATATTGAGAATATTATTGACATATATGGGAGATGACTTTTGCTACCCATCATACCAGACCAGATAGGATGAACATACTCCTTGTTACTTTTTCTAAGCTTTATCATCTAATAGAAACTAGGAAGTGTGCCTTTTATTTTAATTAAATAAAAGTTCCTGCACTATGAAACAGTCTGCTCCCTAAAGTTTAGCAGGCTTCTATCCTCTCTCTTAGCCTTCCATTAACTTAGAAGACCTGGCTTTTTCTCCCCCTCCCCCTCCTCCAAAGTGTTGGAATAAGATTGGATAATTATGCGCTGGACAATTGACTTGGTGCCAGGCTTTTGTTGTTTTTAATTCTTCAATCTGCTTGATTTTGTAATGTTATAATTTTATATGTTGTTAAAACTTTTGATTGGAAGCCACCCAGAGTTAGTTGGAAGATGGGTGGCTATATAAATGTTTAAAATAAAATAAAAATAATAAACAAAATAAAATATCTTTGATGCACTGCCATTCTATGGAAGAAAATTTAACTGCTTAATAGAATTTTATCTAAGACTAATCAAATCTGAGTCAAATAAAGATTTATATGGTATCTAAATTGAGTATCTAAATTGATATTGTTGGTTACTACAACTATTTGCTAAAACCATTCTTTTGTAATTTTATTTATACATGATTTCTTTCTAATCTGGTTAGTAATGAAATCAAAATTTCAGCAAAAACAGCTGTTTTTAAGAATAAGTCTGAAGAAATTTTCTCATTGTATAATTTAATCAAAAATATTTCCTTTCTTTTCCTGCACTACAGAAGCAAGATATTCTTAATCAAGTAAGCATATCCAGTGTATGTGTTAGCTGATATAGTTGATCAATGCTATTAATTTATGTAGATTTATTTTATATGTTCTTTTTTTATATTTAGATATTTATTGGCTAATGCCGTATTTCCCCAAAAATAAGACAGGTCTTATTTTCTTTTGACTCCATAAATATGGCCTTGGCCTTATTATTGGGGAGGGGTCTTATTATTTTGGGGATGCAGGAGGTAGCAAGTGTGGGACTATATGTCCTGCTGCCCCAGTCATCTCCCCTCCCTGTTCTTTTTGCTGACCAGGCGGTTGGCCAAGCAGCTGGCCAAGCAGCTGGCCGGTGATGCCCTGACTTGTCCTGCCACTGCCCTGCATCAGGTTGGGCTTTCTTCGTGAGGGGGACAGTCTGGGGAGCGAGAGATTTAGAAAGCCTGGGCTGGTGTGGGGCAGTTCTCCAGTGAAACGTCTGATTCATCCCCACCTCTCTGCCCCAGCTTGGAAGCTGTTTTGTCCAGGGAAGCACCTTGTAAAAAAAAAAACCTTGTGACTTCAATTTTCCTGGACAAAACATCGAGGAATGCAACAGAAATGCAAGACTCAGATAGGACAAACGTCTCGTGGCCCAACACTTTCCACCCCACCCCAATGCTAAAAGAATCTTGCTGCTTCCCTTCCCTACCATCTCTTTAGTGAGAGGGGTAGCAGGTGGGGTGGGGGAGAAGTTAGAGGCATGGAGTAGGACATGGCTCCTCTTGCTGTCTCTTCTCCCCCCTTGCCGGGCATGGCAGCCTTCCTCTGCAGCTTCCAAACCAGGATAGACAGGCGGCGAAGGGTGAAATGATCACCCATGGGGATGAATCAGATGCTTCACTGGGGAAACTGCCTCGTGCCAGCCCAGGCTTCCTAAATCTCTCGCTCCCCAGATCATCCACCTGCAACCCGATGCAAACACTGCCTCCAGTGTTTGCACCTTACCACCTCCTCATCCTGGTGAAACTACTCTTTGAAAAGATGATCTGCAGGTGGGGAGAGAGATTTCCTGCACATTGGCAGCAATGTCTCCTCACAGGGTTTATCCCGATGTCCCAGGTGTGAAGCAATATCCCGTAAAGGAAGGCATGGAAATTCATTCAACTGGGATGTCAGAAGAAGCCCTGTGAGATGCCGATGTGCAGGAAATCATGCCCCCTTCAGATAGTCTTGTGGGCTGGCCAGAGAGGGAGCATCTTCAATGAAGTTCACTTTGTCTATGTCTCTGTAGGCGGCAGCATCGGCAGCGTCTCCTCACAGGGTTCCTTCGTCCTTCTCTCTGGTCTGATTCTCAAATATTTTCAAACAAAACACTGCCAAGAGAGGGAAGTATCTCTTCCCCCTCCTTCGCCAATCTTAGCGTGTAGGCATGACATTTCACAAAGCTCCTTAATCCGCAGCTGCTGGCTCCCTCATTTTATGTTTTTTATACATATACTGACATACCGACTCTACCTGGAAATGCTGTTTTCTCCTCCCAAGATTTCATTTCCAAGGAAAGAAGACCAGTAGGGTGGCACTGGACTTTCTTGCCACCCTGGCACCTCTCAGCCTCAACTTTGCTCCTGAAACCCTGTGGGTCACTTCTCTGCTTGAGCTCAGCCAAAGGGGCTGAGGGCAAGGGGCAAGTTGAATCTGATACTTCCCCTTTGCCTTCTCTCCCCAAAAATGGTCCTCAGGCGCAGCCACTTCTGTAATAGGAGACTTGAGCCTGCCTTCCAAAGGTACTATAGCAGCAGCTATCCACAAGTTTTTACCCTTATTTTGTCCTGATCCATGACACTCACTGGGCCACATGCGTAGGGGCAAATTATAACGATAAAAAAAATTGTGGATAGCTGCTGCTACAGTACCCTTTAGAAGGCATATGTGCATCATTTGGCCTCCTGCTGCTTTTATTGCTGCAATTGATGGCAAAAAGGCCATGGCCTGAGCAGCACCCACAAATCAGCTGTTTTGTGAATGGCAGTCAGAGCAGCTCAGCTGATCTGATTAAAAAACTGATAAAAGCTGAGGTGACCGGGGAAGGGAAGGTCTTCCTCATGTGCTGGCCATGCCACCCTTTACCTACGGCTTATTTTTTGGGGGACAGCCTATATTTAAACCCACCCCACAAATCAGGACATGTCGTATTTTCAGGGAAACATGGTAACAATACAATATTTCCCCTTTCTTCTTGTTGCATGACATCTTTAGGTATAATGAAAGTTGACAGTAAAGATGAAGAAAAATAAATTTGATACTTACTGCAGTTTTTTATTACAAAATACATAGTGTGAAGGAAGCATGTGATTCATATTCAAAAATGGCCTGGAAACAACATTCTTTGTACTGTGATTTGGTTGTGCCTGTGGGATTGATAAATATTCTCTGTACCTCTGTATGTTGATAAATCGAGAAATCCCTGCCATGTTTAGGTATATGGCTGAAAACATCTCTGAAAAATGAAGAAGACCTAATCTTACATTCAATCAACATTAATAATTGGAGCGGCATAAAAAATATTAAATAGAAAGCAAAAAGAAAATAAATGGTGTATAGTGGAGATGATCAGCAGCCTAAAGAAGCAATAATGACATGTAATGTAAGAAATAAGTCAAATTCTGAAACTATATGGGGAAGAAAGTGAAGCAAATTCAGTCTGAGAGAAACATATATAAATCTTAAAAAGCAAACCAACCAGAATGGGGGAAACCGACAGAAAGAAAGGATAATACATCTTACAGCTTTTTGGGGATATTCACAATTTATTTAATTTATAGCTCATTCTTTATTATTTATATAAATATTTATATAAACAACTCAATGAATAATGTATTTTTTTCTCCTAATTTCCCCACAAGAATAATCCCGTCACATGAGTTGGAATGAGAGACAGTAATTGTCCCAAAGTCACTCAGCTGGTTTTAAATGGCTAAGACAATCTTCAAATGTCTTGCCTGGTGCCTTAACCACCAGATGAAACTGGTTTTACATTTTACAATGACTTAAACCCAGATTACAAAAAAAAAAGTAAACTGCTTCTCCAAGTACCTTCCCTTTTTGCTTTATTTTAAGAGTTAGAATAAGAAGGAAGATGATTAATTCCTTTTGTCTTCAAGAGTTCCTTGGGCTAAACTAAACTACACATTTGTGAAAAAAAGTTGTAATTTTAATGTATAAATTATGCACGGATCTCCAATAACTTAAGAACTTGTCATCTAAAAGAAATAGAAGTAAAATGAAAACTTATATATCTCTTGGGCAGAAAGATTTATTTATTTGTATTTTGCCTTTATTATTTTTTACAAATAACTGACTGGCCCAAAACCAGCCAATTAGCTTTCATAGCTAAGGCAGAATTTGAATTCATAGTTTTCTGCTGACTAGCCAGGTACTTTAACTACTAGATCAAACTGGCTGTCAAGATATTTAGGAAAACCAAATTAAAATACAGCTACATGCGATATCAAAATATGTTATACTCAGGTGCGTTTTATAAGTAAGAATTTTTATGTTTGTTTTAGCTCATATATGCTTTAACTTTGCTTGTCTCCATATTATTGTTTTTTTAAAATATCAGTTTTATTAAAATTTATATGTATAAAGATAAATGGCTAGTTACCACAAACTACATCATATATATTTTAACCCTACTCAAATAAATTCACTTTATGGTTCTTCTATTCACTTTTAAACAGATTGATCTTTAATCATGCTCATAAGATGATTTCTTATCATTTTGATTTTGTCTCATTTTAGAATCCTTTTTTATCCAAAATAAGAAAGCTTTCCAAACTATTATTCTAATTATTATTTGAATGTTGATTTTAACTATTAAGATATCAATTGATTTAATTTATAAATCCATTGTGTCATAATTTTCCCTGAATTTTAAAATTCATTTCTGGTTTCAATGTATCATTTTCCATGTCATTTTTATAATCTGGCATTTTTTTACAAGTCCACATTCAAATCTCAGGCTCAGTTTTATCGTGTAAAATCTTGTGCTATTCTATATCCTCTGTTATAATATCAGATGATCTTGTAAGTAATTTCTAAGTAGTTTATTCCCATGATGAATGAATTAATTTCTTCCATGGTCAAATATTATTGCTCCATTTTATTAATACTCACTTCTCCTTAATTATACTTATTTTTCTCTGGTTCCCTCTAGTCAAAGTTCAAAGTTATCTCATATCATTCTTTTTCAATCCATGAAACTCCCATGGGAATATTTTATCTAGTTAATTCTAAAGTCTTCATATATTCTTTTATGAAAATTTAAACATTCACAGTAATATATTTATTGAAGCCCCTTCCAAAATCTACATTCTACTCTCCCTTCTTCTGTTTTCCTAAAATTAAAGGTTTTCTTTTTAATCCTTTGACTTACTTGGTTTCTTTCATCCAGGGTACCAGTTTGTTCCAATATAATAAAAATTATTCTTAATTTCTACTAAATCAGTAATGAGCAACTTATTAATTAGTAAACAAAGAAGTGAGTGAATTCAATGTCTCCTTGAAAGTGTTTAATGGTGGCCGAGGCAAGATGTTTTGTCCTTACTTTCAGAAACAACTATGCCAACTATTATATATATTTGAAGGGGGATGGGTGGGATTTGAAATCCTGAATTATCTAAAATATACATTGAGAGTTTCTGTTTACAATATGTTTAACCTGAGTCCCCAGGCATAATTATCTATTTTTGTTTGCAGACAATTGATTTAGAAGGTTTCAAGTTATTTATGAAGACCTTTCTTGAGGCTGACTTACCAGATGAATTTTGTGAACATCTCTTTGTATCTTTTGGGAACAAAGTTCCTCACATCAGTCCATTGGTAAAGACTAAATCACCATTTCTTCCAGGAGGTGAGTTTGATTGCCTTGAATGGACTACCACTTGTTCTGAGACTTAATAGAAAGCCTTTAATGATCCTTAATGTCTTTTCATTCTTTTGTAATGATTTAATTTTTTGTAGTTTGAATGGGATTAAAATAGCACTTTTAGAAAAGGGAAGGAAATTTGGTATAAATTGTGAAGTCTAGAGACAAATATCACAGGGATATTTGAGTAGAGAAAAAGTTGGCAAACAGAAAAATTAAAAGTCTCAACTCTACTAATTCTTCCAGATCTCTTCTTTCAAAGTAGTTTTTCAAATGAGAATAGACACATTACACTTTTATTTGTAAGATTTAAGTTGATCTTAGACATCCTTTAATAAACTGTGATTATTGTGGATGTTAAAAGTAGCATTTGAATATAAGCAGAAAATGTTGCTGTAAAATATATGATAAAAATGAAATAATTTCAATTTCTGTTATAAATGTGCTTATAATTTTAGATAATTTAATATAATAGTACTTACCTCCCTAGTAATGAAATGTATGTATGTATGTATGTATGTATGTATGTATGTATGTATGTATGTATGTATGTATGTAAACAAAATAGTGGCTGACATCTTAGGCCCAATTGTTCCAGTAGGATTTCTTTTCTCTCAGTGATTTACAGAGACGCTGAGGCAGATGAAATGAGAGAAAATACGTCCAGAGTATCACTGGTACTCAATAAAGGGTAAACTCAACCGAACATGGATTAGAAATGCTAGTTGTATTGGTTCCTGGATCAATAGGCCCTTCTTACAATCACTCATGTCCAAGTCACTTCCAGACTGGACTTCTGCCATGTACTATAATGGGGCTGCCCTTGAAGATCCAAGATCCTGAAGTTGCAGTTGGTGTGGACTACAGTGGCACAGGCAGTTATTTGCACTCCTAGAACAGGGCATGTTAAACCTCTGCTCTGTGAACTGCAATTGCTCCCTAGTCAAGTTCAAGGTTTTAACTTTTTAAGTTCTTCATGGCATGAGATCAGGTTACCTGAGGAATCACGTCTTCTGATTATATTAGCCAAACCTCATTAAATCTGGCAGAGAAGGCATTCTTTAGGTATCATATGCTAAGGACCTATAGTTGATGGATCCAGGAGACATATTTCTCTTCCATGATGCCCACCTTAAGGAACATCCTTCTCTTGAGAATTATTTATTTATTTAAGGAAATTTATGTATCCACTCAAATCATGCTTTGTGGGCAGCTTTTAAATTAGATTAGCTTCATCCATTTCAATATTTCAAAAGGCTCTCAAGTTCTGTTATTTAATCAACCCTAACCCTTGATATACTTATTCCCTTTTTTTCTATGGTTTGTATTTTTGTTTTTTTATGATATTTATTAATTTGTACTTTTATAAGTTATATAGGTTTTTAAAAATAATTATGGTTTTATCTGAATGTTTTGTGAGTCACTTCTTGTAAAATGGGTCAATAAATTTGATTTAAAAATAAATAGCCTACTTTATCACCTTGAATTATCTTTTGTGCAAAACGATGTCTATTTTTCAATTGCTACACAGAGAAAAAAGTGTTATATATGGTAACAGAAATATGGGCAGGTAAGATGTTTGAAATAGTTTGTTCCTTGTTATATAAATAAACAGTATGAATATTATTTCAGGCTTGCGAATTGCTAAAAGCATAACTACACATCCTCAACATCTTTCCACAATTCATATACCAGAAGTAATCCAGTTGAAAGATATTGTTTGCTATCTTTCCCTTCTTGAAAGAGGGAGACCTGAAGACAAACTAGAATGTATGTATTTCATGTAAAACAATCCCATATTGTTTGTTTCAGTCACTTTCAGTTTGTTCATGTATGTATTTAATTGTCATAACTTTGAAAATTAAAATAAGTTTTAGACATTTGAGAAAATATAACTTTAGAATTGTAAGCCACCCAGGATCAGTGGTTTAGTAACCAGGCTAGAGAACTTAGTTAGTTAGTTAGTTAGTTAGTTAGTTAGTTAGTTAGTTAATTAATTAATTAATTAGTACTATCTATATGTTTAGAAGTCAATTCCACTGAGTTCATTGGATCTGTCTTTTAGATCCATGATGGTGAACCTATGGCACGTGTGAGCCATATCGGTGCACGTGCTGGCAAGCTGATTTTTGGGCCTTCTGGCCCCACCAGAAGTTGGGAAACAATCTGTTTTTGGCCTCCAGTGGGTCTCTGAGTGGGGGTGAGGAAGGCCATTTTCTCCCTCTTCAGGCTCCTAGAAAGGTTCTGGAGCTTGGGGAGAGTTGAAAAATGGACCTTCTGGTCTGACCAGAAGTTGGCAAACAGGCCCTTTTTGGCCTTCGGAGGGCCTTCAGGGGTGGGAAGGCCAGTTTTGTCCTCCCCAAGGTCCGAGAAAGGCTCCTAGAAAGCCTGGGAAGAGCGAAAAACAGACCTTCCAATCCGTCCGGAAGTCTGCAAATGGGCCATTTCTGGCCTCTGGAGGGCCTCCGGGGTGGCGGGCAAGGCCGTTTTTGCCCTGTCCAGGCTCCTCGAAAGAGTCTGGAGCCCAGGGAGGGTGGAAAACAGGTCCACCATGTCATTGCGTGCCAAAAGCGGAGGGAGCACGGGGAGAGGTTGCATGCGTAGGTTGTATAGAATTATGTGGGCACACGTGTGAACAAACCTTTCCCCCGTACTCCCTCTGCTTTTGGCACACAATGGCAAAAAGGTTAGCCATCACTGTTGTAGATTATTATGTTGTATCCTTAGTGTTTAGCATTTTTTCAAGGAATAAATTTATTGTATTCAACTTCTATTCAGCTTTGATGGTCAAAAAAAACTTGCATGCCTCTCTTGGTCATCAAGAATGTTTCATAATACAAAATACTTTTCTTAGATTTGTCAGTGACGTATGAGGAACTAACAGTTTTCTCCAATATTTTGAAATGGCTTTGATTTAATAAACATAGGAAAAATGGCCATTGTAATTAATATTTTGTTTTTATTTTAATGTATAGAAATGTTCTGAAAGATATATTTTCCTTTTTTCACCAAAAAGTTTAATTTTGAATAATAATATGTCAGTTATTTTCAAAATGTAGCTGTGCACAGTTATCAATGTCTGATCATGCACAGGTACAATTATGACACCTGGGTTATTAATTATCTAATGCTGTGTTGGTAGAAGGAGTGGCAGAACATGGGGTTTCCTCTAACTTTTCTGCTACTCGTTTTCCTGCATGCTGTTGCAGCTTCATTTTCACATAGTAAAATGGAAACAATCCAAATAAAACCCCTAAAAACCTTGTAAAAATATTATGTTACTGGTATTGCAGAATTTCATATATTATTTAAAAGATAAAAAGTGAATTATACAGGCCAATATTTTTATTATGACAGCAAGCATAAATTCATGAAATGTGTTTAGTATTTGAACTTAATCAAACCACTATTTGTTGATTTATTTATTATTAAAAGTATTATATGGCTCCCCATCTTGTTAAACATTAACCTGGCTACTCCACAACTATAATAAAATCACAACAAGAAAACCAAGAAAATCAGGCCTGTAATCCATCATATTTATCCATAAAATATTAAGCAGCACAGTGGTCTCATTTATAATAAGTTATGAATGTCTACATTTCTCTTTCCCATTAAATCCATTAAAAGTTTAAATATATAATGCTACAAAAATTCATCCATTTATTGCATTCTGAAGTTGCAATGCATAATACTTCTAGTTTTATTTAGATTCTACATTGAAGTGTAGATAAATTACATCACCAAAAAAGCTAGCTTTTGTCAAGGCGATAGTTTTTCCAGTCATAATATATATTTATGAGTACTGGCCTATAAGAAAGGCTGCATAAAGAAAGACTGATGTCTTTGAACTATGATGTTCAAGAAGATTGTTGTTCTTGCCTTATACAGCAAGAACAAATTGCTCAATACTTGAATTATACCTATACAGCTTAACATTAATAATGAAGCTAAAACTTAATTATTTTGGACACCTAACATAGAAACAAAAATATTTAGTGAAGGCTCCAAAATTTAGAAAAATACAAAGAAATAAAAAAGAAGTCATGATACATTATTGAGTTATTGACAGACCACCATGACAAATATAGTTCATTGGCTCACAAAGAATCAGAACAATGGAATAACAGCAACAAAATATGACCCATTCACTAAGTTCTGAAACCATAACTTTTCTAACACATCTTTGTACATTAAAGCAGCAACATATAACATTTATAACTATGTATTCTAAGATATAGACAGTAGGCTCTATCTGCTGGATATTCAGTTCCATTGCAAGTTGAGAGATCAGATTTCAAACAGTATATTTTCTGAGAATAGTAATCTAGTATCTTTAATACAAATATGTAACATATAAATATTAAGACTGGTTTATGCAAATCAGATTTTTATCATCTATATTTAAAAAAAAATCAGTTGGATAACATATGCAAGTAATATGTGAGAAAAAGAATACATACTTTGTTTCTTTTTGTGATCATCCTATTTAGATATTAGAAACCTACACTTTTATGACAATGTGGTGTATTCTATGAGGAAAAATTTGTTAGCTCATTATAATAATCCATTCTCTTCCTTTGAAATACTGGATATTTTACCTACTTAGAATTTGCTATTTAATTACTAATTAAATAATTTCAGTATGTTCCTGAAAACTAAAAAGAAGTTCTATGTACATGTATTTTTCCAACAATACTGTCTTAGTTAAAATAAAAGATTGAATCTTAAGACTGAATCTACATTACTATAAAGTGGTGATGAATAGAATGATAATATGTGTTACTTTTTCTTGTCAGCATTATTTATCTTAGAATTGATTTCTTATTTAGTAGTTGTTATATTACTTATGTTATAAATATAATTTTAATTCTTTACCACACAATAATTTTAATTTATTATTTCTCTTTAGTTATGTTTCGCTTGTATGACACAGATGGAAATGGCTACCTGGATAATTCGGTAATTTTATTAAATAAAACAGCATATTTTAATATTTATTTATTATTATGCTTTGATTGTTTTTTTATAAATAATTCAATGTGGCAAACTTACCTACTCCTTCCTCCTCTTATTTTTCGCACAACCACAACCCTGCGAGGTGAGATGGGCTGAGATACTGTCTGACCAAAAGTTATCCAGCCAGTTGGCCATGATTAAAGTTGGACTAGAACTCACAATCTTCCAGCCTGATATCTTAACCACAATACCAGACAATCAATACTAAAATAACAAATCAGGAAGTATACTGATATATATCCTGGAAATACAATAAATAGTTTAGTAAGATGTAGTTTTTGAAATTGCATTGGGGAATAGTTATACTGTTTGCATGCTCTGTTTGCCATTGCCAGAATGGTTATCCACCTGTTCCAGAGACCAGGAACAATGCTGTATTCTTCCCACTCTCAACTAAATGCTACCTCTGTTTCCCAGCTGGGATTCAAAAATAATGTTTGCCTTCCATTTTAAGCTCCTCAGTGTGAACAATTTCAAGTGTTCCATTCTGATTTAGTGAAGACACAGCTGCAGTTATGACTTCCTGCACTAATTTCATTTGGGTGGTCATTGCCCTTGGTTGCTTGTATCTCTGATATTTTTTTCAACCTTTTTTCTTGTTTACAGCTTCAAAGCAATTTCAATGTCTGATCTATAGTCATCTTTAACAAAAGTCATAAGTATCTTAGGCTTCTGCACAGAAATGACTTTAGTTCTAACTTAAATTAACAGTACTTGTTGATCATAACACTTATTTTAAAGTTTATAACCCATATTGCCATCTACAACAAAAGAATGAGCTAAAATTCAAAACATATTAAAAGCAAAATAGCATAACAAAACATCAGATAAAAGCAGAAATCAAAATAGTCAGATTAAAGTAAACATCACAGAACTATCATAGAAATAAGCCACAATATAGGATATGCAAAAAGGATTTAAAAATCTAAATATTAGATTGTCTTTGACTAACACCTAAAAATTAACCATGTAAGTGTTAGGGGATTTCTCTGGGGATCTCATAATTTTGTAATTAGAGAGTTCTATTAATTGGTTCCATTAAGTTCGGCAAGATGAAAGAGCAAATTAGTCTGGAATCATGATGTGATGATTAAAAAAAGACAGCGTCCTAATATTAATTACTTTCTAAAATACTTAAGAGTTTTCTTTTTTCTTTTTATACTGATTAGTATAGTATAACATCAATATACGTATTTCATTTAAATAGGCTTCCAAGAATAAATTTATATTCTATCACATATTCCCAGCTGGTGTTTCAAAGAGAACAATATTGTGTATTTATAGTATTTTTCTATTGCCATAAACTGCAATTTCAGAGGGTATATATCGTATTGTATGTGAAACAGCAAGTTTTATGTGCAGCTTCTACTTTTACATCTTTGATTTAATTCAGTACAAAAAAATAAATCTTATGAATGAGAAAATAAAAAGAATAAGCATAGCAAAAAATATCAAAATTAAACTTGTTCTCTTTACTTTTGTAATATTTGTAAAGAGATTGAGAGACTGGGTGATGAGATTCTTCCTAGGGAATGGTCAAATAACAGAGAGTGTCCTACTCACACATGTGCACATCACAAGTCTGTACTGAGACTTTACCACTACAAATGGTACTCCCTGGGACTACCTATGTAGGAACCAGAGCAAGACCTATTGGGTCCAGTTTTCCAAGTCATGAAAAACACAGAACAAATCCAGCAAAGACAAGTGCATGGTTCAAAATACAAATCCCACAAGCCAAAATTGAATTCAAAGGTCCACAAGGCAAAGTCCAAAGTACAGAAACAAAGGCAAAGTTGGACAGCAAGATATATGTTGGCTGAACAAACACACAATCAGAAACAGAAGAGATATTCTCAGTGTCTCTCTGCTCCACATGCAGGGGTAAATAGCCGCCAGTTGATGCAAAACATTAAGAGGGGCAAGGCTACCTCCTCATGAGTAGACCCATTGACTCTTCATTGCACCTCTTTCCTCTTCATCCCTGCTTATTGGTTACGGTGCCCCTTCTTTACCCTTGGCTTCTGGCTGGCTTGAGTCTCTTGGCTGCAGTCTTCCTTTCCGTGGTAATCCAGTCACTCATCTGATCACTTCTCTGGCCCTTCTTAAGTTCTTGCCCATTCTCTTGGTTCAGAACCCCCCAACATCAGTTACAGATGTTCCTCTCCTTCATGCTCCATTTCAAGTCCCTGAAAGAGGCTCTTCCTTGTTATCTTGTTGGCATTCATGACGGAACATAGCCCATAACTATGTATGGCTGGACGGAATGTATATTATATTAGTGTAGCTTTACAATAAAGTAGAATTAGCTTATATGGCTGTATTTCCTGTCTGGTTTACCTGATAATGCTGACATTTCTCATAATTTAGATAAATCCTCATTATTATTATTTTAATAAATTAGATGTTGATTAACTTGACTTAGCTACTATTTCTATTCAGCTTGACATTCAAATTGCTCTTGGATGCCATGACCTGAATGTTTACAAATCATAGAATTGTAACATTGAAAGCAATATTTATTTTAGACTAATCTCTATTCAGACAATTTTCCGACTTCCCAAATTATTGTGTATTCTTTGTTTGTAGAAATGGACTTCAGTTTCCATTAGTTCTAAGCATTCGTCTTTCTGACTAGGTTTAAGGAAAATCTTATAACATGATAATATTTGGACTTTGCTATACTCTTAAAGAATCATAATCATCATCATTGTTTTAGCCATAGTCTGTTCACTGCACAATGAAGACTTCTTTCTCATGATTCCAACCAGTACAGGTGTGAGTTTTCTTTTTCCAATTGGGCCCACAATACTTGCTGATGTCATCAATTTATCTTGTTTTAGGTATTTCATGGATACTTTTTATCAAGTGGGATCAGTGGTGGATTCCTACTGGTTCAGATTGGTTCAGCCGAACTGGTAGTGGTTTGGTAGCCAGGGTTGCTGGAACTGGCAGTGACCTAGACCTGCCATGCCCCTGAACTGGTTCTCCTACGGCGCCCCTATCTTGATTTTTTGTTCTGCGCATACACAGAACAATTTTCATTGCACACATTTATTTTTTTCCCCATTTTTTAACGTTTTGTGTATGTGCACACCTATTTATGAACAAATGCGCACTGGCACGTGAGTGAGTAAAACGTGTGTGTGTGTGTGTGCAAAATTTTTGCATACACTGAACTGTTAGTAATGCCACGAGCAATCCATCCCTGTGGGATCCATTCTATGACTGCCTTGGTCCACTTGCCACCAGTTGTTCTTGCTATGTGACCACCTCCTTTCCATTTCAATTCTTTTAATCTCTTGATGATATTGTATACTTTCGTTTGTTCTCTAATCCACATCCAGATCATTCTATCTTATCTTGTTATGCCAAATATCTTTCCATGGCTCTTTGCACAGCTTGTAGCTTATGTATTGATTTTGAGGTTAGAGTTTATGTTTCATTGGCATATGTTAAAATAACACACTGATCAAAAACTTTTTTCTTCAGGCATAGTGGGAAGTTGTTCTTGAAAATTACTCTTATCTTGCCAAATAACTGTCAACCAAACATGCAGTTGAATTTCCTCTATTGTATCACCTTCTACTAAGATCCATTGGCCAAGGTATACGTAGTGGTAGTACTCTTAAAGTACTCTTTAAAAATGGTTAGTATGATTCATCAATTAAGTTTTCTTGAGAAGGCACAAGTAGCAGTTTTCAAATGCAACTTACTGGTAAAAGCTGTTGGAAATGTGAGTTAAAGCCAAACTTCTTTAGCTTACCTTGCTCTTTTTTTTTTTTTTTAAATATTTTTAACATTATAAAAATATTTGCTTAATTTTAGTGTGTTCTAAAGGCTCACATTAGAACTTGACAATGATATATCTAAATTTAGCTATTTCTAAATATTCCTAACCCAAAATGTTATTTAAAGTATGAAGTCCTCTTTTAGTTTATATTATCATTCAGTAGAATTCCAGAAAAAGAAAATGACTTTTAATTAACAAGATTCTTTGTGTTTTACTTTTGTGTCCAGGAACTTGAAAACATCATTACTCAAATGATGCATGTTGCAGAATATCTTGAATGGGATGTCACTGAACTCAGTCCAGTAAGCATCACGGCAGGTCATTTATTTAGTTAGCAATGGAAATATCAAAGAACTGTTCTATATAATTTGATTAATATTATGTTTGTAGAAGTTTTGTGTGGTTTCTTCAATGTTGAAATGGACTACAAAAAACTGGAAAAATATGTTTGCTCATCATATTTGAGCCTCAATATTAAAGACAAATAAATATGAGCAATCAAAGAAGTGTCACTAATATAAAGACAATATGGAAAATATAGTATTGTTTAGATCAATCAATAACAGAATTTCTTTTCTTAAAATAAAATGGATTATATCAATAAGGAGAACAAAAGCATTTTAGCAGAACAAGCATTCAAGAAATTTCCAGTGGAAAGTTTGCGGATCAGTTGCTGAATGTAGTAAACAGGATTAAACAGTTTTTGTCTGATTAGATTTTTATACAAATGATACGCATATACTAACTCTATGCCAGAACACTTAATGAGGCTTACAATTCATTGCAAATCTTTATAAAGATTTTTGCATGTTGTTATATATTAACCACGCAGAATTGTCATAGATGATGGGCAGGACAACTTGGATGAAATTTATTGAATCATTCTTGACTCTTATCACAGATTAAGAAAGACAAATATAGAATAATGGAGTTGGAAAAGAACTTATAGGTCTTCTAGTCCAACCCCCTGCTTAGATAGGAAACGCTATACTACTTCAGACAAATGATTACCTAATTTCTTCTTAAAAACTTCCAGTGTTGAAGCATTTATAACTCCTGAAGGCAAGTTGTTCCACTGATACCTTAACCTTAACCCTAATTGTTATAACTGTCAGGAAATTTCTCCTTAGTTCTAAGTTGCTTCTCTCCTTGATTACTTTTCACCCATTGCTTCTTGTTCTGCACTCAGGTGCTTTGGAGAATAGTTTGGCTTCCTCTTCTTTGTGGCAACCCCTGAGATTTCAGAGCACTGCTATCATGTCACTCCTGGTCCTTCTTTTCATAAGACTAGATATATCCAGTTCCAGCAGCCGTTCTTTATATATTTTATCTTCAAGTCCCCTAATCTTAAATATAATGTAATTAAATTAAATTAAATATAATGCTTAAATATATTTCGTCTTTCTTGCTCTTCTCTGACCCTTTCTAGAGTCTCAACATCTTTTTTACATCATGGCAACCAAATTTGGATGCAATATTCCAAGTGTGGCCTTACCAAGGCATTATAAAGCAGTATTAACACTTCACGTAATCTTGATTCTATCCCTCTGTTTATGCAGCCTAGAATTGTGTTGGCTTTTTTGGCAGCTGCAGCATACTGCTGGATCATATTTAAGTGATTGTCCACTAGGACTCCAAGATCCCTCTCACAGTCACCACTATTGAGCAAGGTACACATATGTGGTACCTGTGCATTTCGTTTTTCATCCCTAAATGTAGAACCTTACTTTTTTCCCCATTGAATTTCATTTTGTTAGATAGCACCCAATGTTCAAGTCTGTTAAGATTCTTCTGTATCTTAAACCTGTCTTCCAGAGCGTTGGCTATTCTTGCTAGCTTAGTGTTGTTTGCAAATTTGATGAGTTCCCCATTTATTCCCTCATCCAAATCATTGATGAATATGTTGAAGAATACTGGGCCTAAAACAGAGTCCTGGCATAACACACTGAATACCTCCCTCCATGTAGATGCAGTGGCATTGAGGATTACACATTGAGTGTGGTTGGTCAGCCAGTTTCGAATCCATCTGGTGGTGATGCTGACTAAACCCCTTTTTTCTATTTTATCAAGTAGTAGATTATGGTCTACTTTGTCAATGCCTTACTGAAGTCCAAGTAAATTATATTCCTCTGGTCCAGGGGTCAGCTGCTGCTGGCATTACTGCTGGTTCAGTGCATGTGTGATTTATCCGTGAGTGCTCACTTCTCTCACGCATGCGCAGTTGCCTATAAATAGGTCTTCACATATGCAGAAGATTAAAAATGCCAAAAAAAACACACCCTGCAGCAACCAGGAAACCAGTTCGAATTGTGAGAACCAGTAGCAACCCACCTCTGCTGTGGTCCACTAGTTTTGTCACTTTATCAAAAAATACAATAACATTAGTCTGGCATGACCTGTTTTTGACCAATCCATGTCGGCTTTTGGTTATTACTTTGTTTGCTTCTGGATGTTCATCGATTCATTGCTTGATTATCTTTTCCAGGATCTTCCCTGGTATTGAGGTCAGGCTGATAGGTGTGTAGTTTTCTGGGTCTTTTTTATTTTTTTGAAGATGGGAACTACATCAGCTCTTTTCCAGTCCTCTAGCATTTTCCCAGTGCTCCAGGATCTTTGAAAGATATAATTCAGTTGTTCTGAGACCTCATCTGCTAGTTCCTTCAGAACCTTGGGGTGTAATCCATCTGGTCCTGGTGATTTGAACTTGTCTAAGGTAGACAGGTGCTCACTTACCATTTTCTTCCCTATTTTAACTTTTTTTCCTAATCTGTTTTTTGTGGTGCTGTTTTCGATAGATTGGACTGTTTTTCCCTTTGTGTAAAGCCAGATGCAAAAAACGAGTTACTTAGTTTTGCTTTCTCCCTGTTGCTTGTTACCTTCTTGCCATTTTCTCCCAACAATGGATTGCTTCCTTGACTTTTTTCTTGTTTTTAACAAATTGGAAGAAGCTTTTTTGGTTATTTTGTTACCTTTGTTACAAGTCTTTGCTCATTGCGAGCCTTAGCTTTTCTCAACTCATCTTTGCAGGCTCGGGCTATTCATTGATATCTGCCTTAGTTATGTGCCTCTCTTTCCACTTTTTATACTTTGTTCAGTCAATCTCTCGGAGAGTTATTTATGCAGCCACACTGATTTCTTTTTAGAGTTGTTATTTTTCTTCTTCATTGGTATTATGCTATACTGGGCTTTTATATTCCCACTTTTCAAATTTTCCCAAGCTTCTTGAGTTATTTTCATCTTGAGGATTCTCATCTATGCAATCCTTCCCAAACTCTTTCTAAGTTTATTGAAATTAGCTCTCTTAAAGTCCAAGACTCTATTTGACTAATTATATATATTTATATGTTGCAAATATATATTTATATAATGTAAATATATATTTGCAACAAATTTTTCCATCCTGTTTATTTTTTCAGCATGTAAGGTAATTTAGATATGGTAAAATAACATCAAGGCAGCATTCCCACTTTAATTGTATTTGAAAATTACTTTTCTTCTGCTAATATTAAGTATATACATATTGTATACATTGAATATCTTGAAAGCATTTAAAGTTTTTTAAATCATATTTCTTCTAATAAAAATCTCAGTAATATTTAAATAAATACTTCTGCATCAGAGTTAGGCAAACTGTTTCAGGTGGCATTGTGAAATTTGTTTTGATGATACAGGTACATTTAGGTTGAAATTACATGAGAATGCCAACTCATGTAGAATGACTTTTCTTGCTATAGGATCACATATTCTTATCTACAAAATCTTGTTCCCCATCAAACAGCTAAATATAAACTATTTAGTGCTACATTTTCAAGCTCTATTCGAACATTAAAATAAAATTAAGGTTAGAATGATGTACATGATTAGATTTATTTTTATTAGACTTCCATCGGGTTGCACTAAAATAATTGAAACAAATAGCGCTTCCTGATATTTTTTTAATATGAAAATATTTAGTGATATTTTACAATACATTTATCTTTCAATTTTAATGTAAAACAACTATTATTTACATAATATTCATATCAATTTTTTAAATTAAAACAGATTCTTCATGAGATGATGGAAGAAATTGATTATGATCATGATGGCACAGTTTCCTTGGAAGAATGGATTCAGGGGGGAATGACTACGATACCACTTTTAGTGTTGCTTGGATTAGAGAATGTAAGAATCATTTTAGTGGTAATAAACTTTCAAACTTAAAAACATGTATGCATTCCAGAATTTCATAAAAGAAGATAATAACTTAGAAATATTTCTTCCCGTTACATTTCTCAACATCCTTGTTATACTGTATTAGGACTGCTATCTTAAAAAAAACTATTTTTAAATCTGAAAACTGAATCTTAAAAAATTAATTTATTTTTAATGTTTTTTTCTTTTAAAGAAGGGACTGTTTTCAAAATAGCTTGACAGATCTTTATTAAAAAATGTCTGTGGGCGCGTTCAATGAATCGGTTGTTAACCCAATGGGATCCCACTCTGGTCAGATTCATTTGAATTGGATTGGCTATTTCCATTTAGATCTGGCTGTCAGATTTAAATGGGTTATCCTTGTAGTGAACCAATTTGTTTGTTTATTTGAACCAGAATCCTTTTGATATGAAGCTTTATTTTAAAATGTTGCAATAGGTTGATTCACTTCAATAGATTGTTTTATTCTGAATTGATAATTCATAAAAATATTTCATTGTCTAATTTACACATTTACACACATATACTTGTAATTTATGTATTTTAAAAGGTAATCTATCTATCTGTGTGTGTGTGTGTGTGTGTGCGTCCCCGATACAGTTCACCTTTTGAAATATATAAACTGTATAAATAAATAGAGGCATATATGTTATTAGTGGTTTAAATAAAATAAATGCAGTTACAACCTTTTATTCTCCTATCCCTTTCACTATTCTTTTTTGTGTGCACTTTTCCAGTTTCTCAGCAGGCAAAACTCGTACTGAAATAAATGGAAAAATCTTTCTGCAGAGCAGCTGCAAAATTAAGTGATAATAATAGTAATAATTATTATAATTGCATTGATATGCCATCCTTACTACTGCAATTAGGACATAGAATTAAATTAAAATTCGATACAATTGTATTTAACTGATTAATTAACTAAATCATATTTGCATAATGCAACTACTGTCATAAAGTATTTTTCTACTATGCTATTAATTCGCAAACTTAATTATATTCATTTTTCCACATATTTACCAAATAAATCCTTAAAATTTCCCTCATACAAATATAAACTCTTCAGCTTCTTGTGAGATTTTCAGCATTATGAATACAATTTATTTACATAGCCAAAAATATTTGGTGTTACTTGCTAGTAGAAAAAACACAGTTTGCATTCTATACAAATGCTCTGGTTGTTTAATTTAAAATTATTGAGATCAAATATGTTTCTTTTGAAAATATTAATTTATTTACTAAGCCTTTGACATCTACACTACAAAATCAGCCAACCAGCTTATAGTCCTTTGCTGGCTAGATGAAATAATGTCAAGGGATTATGAAGGATAATTAATTTGACAGTGGGCATTCTTGCTAGACAAAATAACAGGAGAATGGCATTTCTCAGATGTGATGCTTTTTACATGAAATATGTTTGTGGCAGTGGTGTACTGGAATACGCAACTGCTGCATATTTTTGTGAAAAAGAAGTTCATCAAAAATTGTGAACTATATTACTGTTGATTTCATGTGATTTCTAGAGATACTGAATCAGTTGTATTAGTGTGCAATATTCTTAGAAAATGGTTAGCCCTCCTAGTTCATGTAAAGGCAGCAAAGTCCTGCCTTTGCTGTAAAAGCTAGCTGGGTGACTTTAAGCTAGTTACTTTCATTCATCCAACTTACCTCATAGGCTGTTGTTGTGGGGAAAACAGAAGGAAGAAGATGTATTGGATATGTTTGCCCTCTTGAGTTGTTTGTAAAAATAATAAAGACAAGATATAAATAAATAAACAAAATAATATCACTTAACTTTGCTTTGAGTTGGATAGGTCCAATCAAGGTACCCAGACCAGACCTTCTCTGATTATCTAGAATGAATTTGGTCCTGTGTTCCAGTGAAGTATGTCAGTTAGCTTGGCCATCAATTTGTTAACATCCAGATGGATGTTAACCTCCAGGTTGGTCAGTGCATTGATGTCTGCTTTTTTGAAGGAAGGGGTATCTTATTTATCTAAATAAGACATTGCTGGAATTAACAATTATGGAAAATGATTGCCTGGTTTCCATTTTAGGAAAGGTGAAGAGGACATTCAGACTTAGTTCCAGTGAGCTCTGGTGTGAACAGATTAAATTTATCTGTTTTGATTGGGTTTCAAGCCAGAGTTTAGTAGCAAGATTCCATTAGTCATATTTGTTGATAACTGTGGTAGAATTGTGATGAGTGCATTAATACTTGTGCTTCAAGATATCTCATTAGATTTCAATATTGTTGACCATGGTATGATTTTGGACCAGCTTCAAAGTGGAAGGTTCCATGCCAACTCATAAAGCATTTCCCTGAAACTTGACATTCCAATTTACAGTGACTTTTCAATTTCTGTGTCCAGCTTTGATCAGGGTTGACAGGCAGAGAGAAATAGCACTCATGGCTCCTCACTTTTGAGTGGTGCAGGGTTTTACACTTTTTGCCCAGTTGACAAACATCTGCATGAAACCATTGGATGACATAGTTTGCTGGCTTAAAAAACTCCTTTTTTACAATATTGCAATTCCTTAATTTGGGATGACTAGATGGAACTGAGCATTTATTGGCCCAATGCCCTTCCTGATACTACACAGATTACACAGGAGATGTCTTTTCTTTGTGCCCTAGGAAACATCTGCTACTACCTAAGATTGAACTCTCAATCTTCTGAGTGGGAGGCGAACGTCTTCACCAGTAGGCTATCATGCTACTCTAGTTTAACATAAATATGCAGATGAAATCCAGTTATACATCTCAAATCCTGACAAGTCAAGTGAGTAGGTAGAAGCTATGGCCAAGATACCGTATTTTTCCGAGTATAGATGCACTGGAGTATAAGACGCACTAAGATTTTGAAGAGACAAATTAAAAAAAAATGTTTTTGCAAAAAAATAGTCCTGTTTTTAAAAAAAGGGCATACAGAGCCTGTAGGAGACTTGAAGAGTGCTCCTGGGGGCTGGTGGGGCCCAAAATGAGCAAAAAATTGGCCCATTTTTTGCAAAAACGGGCCCATTTTTGGTAAAAAAGGGGGGGCATGCATAGTCTTTAGGAGGCTCATAGAATGCTCCTGGGGACTGGGGGATTGAAAATTGGCCTTTGCACTCATTTTTGCCCTTCCCAGATCCCAGGAGCTCTCTACAAGCCTCCTAACTACTATGCACGACCATTTTGGTGAAGGGGCAGGGTTTCAGAAGCCAAAAATGCTGTATTCAGTGTATAAGACATGCCCAGATTTTCAGCCTGTTTTTTGTGGGAAAAAGGTGCATCTTATACTCCAAAAAATATGCTAGGTATATCTTTTCACAAGTAGTACCATTTTTGGAAAAGGAAGCCCTTCAGAAAGAGATTCATGACTTCATCATCTCATAGTTGGATTACTGTAATGCACTCTACTTTGCTGCCCTTGAAGTCCACCCTGAAGCTGCCACTGGTCCACAATGTGGCAGCAAGGGTGGTGATGAGTTCTTTTGTTTTGACTTTAGTGTTGTACTTCGTGCTTTGTTTCATTAATTAACTAATATGTTCATTCAATTTCTATAGCACTTTTGGAACAATTTTTATTGTTCCTTTTGGTCTGTTGTATTTTCTTCTAATAAGCATGTTTTTTTTGTTTTAACCACCCAAATTTGTTTGGGAGTTGATGTAATAAATAATAGCATATACTGCAGTCATACTTGAAAGGACTTGAAAGGGACTTCATTGTTTCTCTCTCTGTGTATATTCCAGAATTATTCTGAGCTAGCTATTTCCTTATTAATTTGCTTTTTAAACATGTCCGTGTTAAAATCCTCCACAGGTTTTCAACAGCATCTATTTTAGTTTTGTAAAAAAGAATATAGCTTTCTAAATGTTCAGTAATTTTTGGAGTGAATATGTTTGGAATTTCAACTGTTTTCTCCACTACCCTTTCTCCACTAGATGTCATGGTTGCATTGCAGCAGTATTTTGCTGTAATAATGTGCTATTTCAAATGCTGTAGAAATACATTAGGGATGTTACTTTATAATCAGCCAACTGAAGCTTTAAACAGATGACTCGTTAAAAAGGAAAAAAAAATACTTATGGAAATTTAGGGCCAAGTATAAAAAAGTTTGAAGCTGAATTGGTCCATAGAGAATGATCTAGCTAAGCAAGATTAATGCCACAATGATTGTCAATGTGCATTCACTGTGGACCATTCAACACTGCTTTGTTAGACCATAAATTTGACTAGAATAATGGAGAGTTCTACTTCATTTGGCAATGTATATATAAATATATAAGCACCAAAAGTTTTTACATATTCAGTATAAATACCTAATGCTTATATGCTATATAGTAAATATTGTGTCTTAAAGAGATGGGAGTACCAGACCATCTTATTTGTCTCTTGAGAAACCTATATGATATCAAGAAGCAACAGTGAGAATTGGACATGAAACCACTGATTGGTTCAAAATTGAGAAAGGAATTTGGCAAGTCTATATACTGTCGCCCTGCCTATTTAACTTATATGCAGAGCACATCATGAGAAAGTCTAGATGAATCACAAATTGGAATTAAGATTGCTGAGAGAAATAACAACAACCTCAGATAGGCAGATGATACCACTCTAATAGCAGAAAGTGAAGAGGAACTTGAAACTCAACATTAAAAAAACTAAGATCACGTCATCCGGCCATCTCAATTCCTGGCAAATAGATGGAGAAGAAATGGAGGCAGTGACAGATTTTATTTTCCTGGACTCCAAGATCACCTCAGATGGGGACTACAGCCAAGAAATTAAAAGATGCTTGCTCCTGGGGAGGAAAACTATGGCAAATCTAGACAGCATACTAAAAAGGAGAGACATCACCCTGCCAACAAAAGTGCATATAGTCAATGCTATGATTTTCCCAGTTGCAATGTGTGACTGAAAATTAGACCATAAGGAAGTCTGAGTGCCAAAGAATTGAGGCTTTGAACTTTGGTGCTGGAGAAGACTCCTGAGAGAACCTTGGACTGCAAGGTGATCAAAATGGTCAGTCCTAGAGGAGATCAACCGTGACTGCTCTTTAGAAGGCCAGCTCCTGAAGATGAAACTCAAATACTTTGGCCACCTAATGAGAAGGAAGGGCTCACTGGAGAAGAGGCTAATGCTGGGAACGATTGAGGGCAAAAGAAGATGACAGAGAATGAGGTAACTGGAGGGAGTCATGAAGCACTAGACGTGAGCTTAAACAAATTCTGGGGAATGGTAGAGGACAGGAAGGCCTGGAGGATGGGGTTGCGATGGATCGGATATGATATTGTGACTATCAACAACCACAAATATTGTGAACACTTAAAATGTTAGCAGTATGTGCTTTTTATGCAAATTTGAAAATGAATAATTCTGTGATGAAGATTATCCACAGATATTCTACAAGTGTGAAGAACCAAAGACCCATTTTCCCCTCTCTTTTTTCTAGTCTTAGAGTAGGTCCAGAAAAGACATTTATTACAACTTCCTTTATTCACAAAAATTTTCTCATCAGTATCCTTTCCAGTATCCTTCCCAAAAAATTATTTTTGGAAAATAGGAAACATTCATAAGAAAGTGAAAAATAAAAATGGATGAAAGCTGACCACTAAACTCTCTTTTTGAGTAATAAGAGTCAAAAATTGCTTAATCAGAACATATTGCTCATTGCTATTCTTTAGGTTTTCCACAGGAGGGAGCATTTGCAATTCTTTTAGAAAATTTTCAGAAACTATTAGATGAAGATATAATAAAAATAATATGGTTCTTCATTTTTATTTGAAAACCACAATAATATTAAATGTAAAGCATAATAGTAAAATGATGAAGAAAGCCTCACTTAGCAATTTTCATACAATATGATTTTTGTGTACCTACTTGAAACAATATTTTATGCACACACACGCAGACACACACAACAAAGAGACACATACAAACATATGTCCCATTGATATAAATATCCCCAAGTTTATGTGCATGGGATCACTGTCAGATGTTCCAGAACACCTATTAGAATCTGTAGAGGTACCCACATGAACCATCCCAACTGTTTATAACTTAAAAAAATAAATAAAAGCAAGTGTCGGCTGCAAGTAACAGGAACGGGTTGTTCCAAGCACTAAAAGTTTATTATATGCGACCTGCCCAAGAATTTGATCTGCAACTATCAAGCAAAATTGATAGATAAGAGGCAATGGAATTCATGGGAAGCTGAACTTGGATTTCTTATGGAAACACAATGACTCCAAACTGATAACATGTTTAATTCTGTCCTCAGTTTGAGACTCTCATATCTTTGAGAAAGTAAAGAATATCCTGCTATTATTTATCTTCTTTTCAAAGTTTAAAAAAAGAGGTTGACTTATACTTTGTAACAAAAATTTCCAAGTTGTGTATATGGATTCTACACTGCTTTGGTTGTTTTGGATTTTGTAAGTCACTTAGAGTCTTCTGGAGTGGGCAGCCATACCAAATCAAATAAAGTGTATTAAATTAAAACGAGAGTTCATTATATTTCTCTGAATGCACTTTGCAGTTTCCATTGAGTCAAGTGAAGAAGTTGTATAAAAAATATTAACTATTCCTTTAAGTTGAAAAAGGAAAACATAACTCAACCATTAACTTCAGTATATAATCTTCCAGTGACCAAATGTATCCAGAGATTGAGCAGTCAGATATCGGAATAACTTAAGGCATGATCAACACCTTACATTTTTAAGGCACGAAACATTTTTACTACCAGAAATGTTCTCAAATCCATGTCAATTGACTATGCGTTCAAACTAAAACTATTGTTTTAATGCAATAGTTTGGCTCAAGCATACTTAACAGACAACAAGTAAAAATATTACCATCCATAATGAACTACACAGAATATATTTTTATAATATGAGACAGTTATAAAAATCCATATTACAGCATTGGCATTTGGCAGAGTACAGTCTCTGGATTAAGAATATCCAATTTATGGCAATCCAAAGTGCTGTATACCTCAGAAAATGGTGTATGGCATTCTCCTTCCTTGAGTAAAAGTGGCTAAAGCTGTGCAATATTTTCATGAACAACTGAAGCTGTGCATTTTTAATATACAGCCTGCTTTTAATGGTTTTCAGCTGTTCTTGAAAAATTTCATAGTTTCAGAGGTTCATTGATTCAAGGAAGTAATATGTTGTCTACCATTTTTCATTACTAATAACAATAGTAATGAATAGTAAGAGTAATAAATACCAGTTTCAATTTACATACAAATTTGAGTTAAAGACAGATTTAGTAATGAAACTTGTTCTTAATCTGGAGTTTGCTTGTAAACATTTTTTTTTAAAAAGTTGATACATAATTAAAATGTGTATTATAGCAAAGCAATACTTTTTTGTAACAAAAATACAGTAAGTAGAATACAAACTCTACATAACAAAATACATTTTTTTAAAAAAGTTTAAAAAGATTGAAGTTGTGGGTAGTAAAGTGAACTAAAACCGAAGAAAAAAGATTTTGATATAATATTAACAAGGATTTAGCTCAATGTTTTCATATATAATTAAACAGAAATGTATTCCTTCATATTCTTGTTTTTATAATGTAAATACATTTAAAAATGGAAAAGGAACTTTTGAATCCACTGTTTAACATCAATAACATATTTTTTCTACTTTGGAAAATTAAAGCCTAGATTTGATAAAGCTAGTGTTACCTATAAAATGTCAAGTTCCATATTTTGGTAGTACTCATTGATTTTCCAAAGTTAGTCATTATGTTGCTGATATTAACCTTCATTATATATTTTAGTTTCATTAATAGTGACATTGTTTCTTTTACTTACCAAAACTAAATATAGCGAAGCAAAAACACTTCCATTTTATTTTAGCTATGGAACATTCCATTTCTCTAAAGCATTTGACTTTAATAATGATCAGGGCAAATAATTTTAAAATTTTACTCAAGAGAATATGTAAAGAAAATCTATATGTATTCAATACCCACACTGAAATGGGATAACACATGCTAGGCTTAAAGATTGTATTTTATTGTATTTTTTATTTTCAATTCCAGAACGTATGTAAAAGCACACATTTTTTTAATGATCTGATTGAAAGAAGTCCATATATGCAGTTTCATGAGACTATTGTCCCTTGTTTAACACTTTGACAGGAAGTCTAATATGCTATACTCTAAATGAATATATTGTATTTTATGTCAATTAGATTGATCCATATGTTCTGTTCATATATAGTGGCCTTTCTTTTGAATAAATAGCAGCAATTAACTAGTTATAGTCATATAGTCCTCAATTAATTCATTCTATTTAACAGACAAATACTTTATTATGAAAGCCTTGTCTTCTTGACTTTTTATTTATTGTATTTAGTTTTACCTAAGTAAAGATGTGACAATTTTAATTAGAATGTTGTCATTAAACCTTCATCATTATTCATTCATAACCTGTGATAAAGATAAAAGCCAATACTAAAATAATAATTTTTCAAAAAGCCCTGTGCAGCAAGGGACCCTTGAATTTGTAGCTGTAGCAGAATAAACCTTAAGCATTAATCCCCAATGTTTTAGAATATGTTTATGTGCATGTTACTTGGGCAAATCATTTTATTAACAATTTATACTAAAAAGTTTTACAGTTTTCAGCTCCACTGCCACACACTCACTGTCTTCCGTTTTGATACCATATCTCTACATGTCTCTTTGGAAAAATTATGTTGTAATCACTTGAAAATTAATAAATGAAGAAGCAGATTGTCTTTTATGTTCTTGAGTCAATTTCAATTTTTATTGGCACTTAAAGGTTTTTCTGTTTATGCCATTAAATGAAATCCATTTCTTTTTATGTGTTCTGCAGAATGTGAAGGATGATGGGCAGCATGTATGGAGACTAAAGCACTTCAACAAGCCTGCCTACTGTAATCTCTGTTTGAATATGCTCATAGGATTAGGCAAACAGGGTCTCTCTTGTTCCTGTGAGTATGCATCCTGGTTGATTCTGCTAATGCTTTGAATGTTACCTAGAAAAAATGATTGATTAGGGCAGAGTTTTTTTGACCAAGAGCTTTTAGATTAGGCCATTGTGGGCAGCCTTAAATGAGACAATCAAGACAAATATTGTACTTGGGTGCTGCCCAAATTTGTGTATGCAGTTGTTCACACCCTTTGTAAATATCTAGTATAGCAGATCAATAAAACAATTACTGTATATTGATTCATGTGGATGTAACAAATAGACACACACAGAAACACACACACATACACAAAAAACTAAGCAATATGGGAAAACATATTTTAATGAGCCTTGAGGTTATACTTAGCAAACTACTGTATATGGAAAGAGGCTTACAGTTCAGTTCGACTCTGCCAGAGTAGAATAATTCTGCTAGTCAAAAATTAGTTTCTGTATCACGCTATGTAGAGGACTAAAACCAATATCTCTTGCTTGATATATTTTAGCTTTTAGATGGTACTGCTCAGCTAGAAATCATGACTCTGCAAGCTTAGCCATTGCCTCATTTTGTGGAACTTAACAAATAATGTCTATATTTGTTAAAGTGCTCAGATCAGATTTTAAATAAGTCGTTTGCCAGGGTTTGCTGTTTTTATGCTATATTGTATTTCTTTACTTTCAGTCTTTTTTATTGTCCGTCATTTAGCTTTGTTATTTATTTGTTATGTTTTAGCAATGTTTATTTCTTATTCGCTCCATCCCATCATGATTCATTCCCTCATCTTTAAATATAAAGGTGGGCAGAGGAAAAGTTTCTGACTTTAATTGAATTAACAGCAGCACTGACAAAATAGCTTTCCTTCCATTCTTAATTACTTGTGAAATGAAGGTAGCTTCCACAATTTCATTAGTGCAAATTGTTGTATGAAAGGTCTGTGAGCTCAGTTCAATTCTGGTACTCAAATTCCAGGACCAAGTGCTGTATATCTTATTAAATTGCTCTTGAATCAGATTTGGCTTACAGGCACATTACCGTTTACTAGAAAATAAAAACAACACAGATCTTTTGGTCTTCTTTTAATGATTCCTTTTTATATTTACAATTTTATTTTCAACATGAATAAAATTAAAGAAAAAGAAAATAGAAAAAAAAATGAAAGATTAGACAAAAAGCAAGGTAAATACAGCAATAAAAAGAAAAAGTAAAGCAAGGAGTAAAGGGGAATCTTCCAACTTTCTTTTGTACAGATATAGATAAAAGTACATCCAACTAAAATGAATGGTAGACTATGTTACTTTATAATTCCATATAATTCCAATAATCAAATGCCAAAATCAAAGTTTCATTTCTCTCAGTTTCTTGCAAAAAGTCAAAGAGAGTTTTCCAAGTAAAATTAAAATTGGTTGATCTTGGAAGTTGTTAATTTTGCCATCTCTGTCATTTCCATCAGTTTAACGGAATTCCATTTGTTCAATGTAGGCATTTATAAATTCTTCCATCTTTGCACAGCAAGTCTAACTGTTATCATATATAAAAAGACATTTCCGCAACATATCTCAATCTTTTTGTTCATTAATCCCAGAAAGAAATGGTCTGATTTCCGTTGTAGATTTACCTTTAAAATCTTCAGAATCAGAATACATATTTGGTCCCAATATTCTCTAGATTTCTTACATATCCCAGAAAGATTTACAAATGTACCTTCAGATTGATAACATTTTCAAGAAATATCTTACATCAAAAATTAACCTAGATTATCATACTGTCTTTTACTTGTTCATCCTGCTTCCATTTTAGTAAGGTTTTTTTAGTTTTTAGCAATAATATGATCATCATTTGTACCTAATTCCACATCAAATTCCATTGTACCAATTTCTAAATCTTTCTATTAGCTGGGCATACCAGAAAGCCATGTATATGTGTGTGTGTGTGTGTGTGTGTGTGTGTGTATGTATTTGTGTGTGTGTGTGTGTGTGTGTGTGTATTTTTGTGTGTGTGTATGTATTTGTGTGTGTGTGTATGTATTTGTGTGTGTGTGTGTGTGTATGTATGTATGAATGTATGTATGTATGTATCTATGTATGTATGTATGTATGTGTATGTGTATATATAGCATTTGTGCTGAAAAATAAATAAAGGGAGACTAGTATAGAACTATTTCAAGCTATTTAGCTCTCATCAGCTAGCCATACCCTTACTGGGAATCAAACCTCAGGAAGTTATATTAGCCACTAAGCCACAGGATCTCTTCCTTTATCAGCTAGGCCATATATATGGTATATAATAATATATATATATATATATATATATATATATATATATATAT